GGGGCAGGGCGTGTAGATTGCAGGGTCTGCTGGGTGGTCTTGGAGAAGGGGAACCTCTGTTGGACTTTCTATTAGGACTGCCAGCCCCCAAATAATGAGACAGAGACTTATTATCAATTATGAAAGCTTGGCCTTTAGCTTGGGCTTATTCACAATTAGCACTTATAACTTACCTTAACCTGCTTCTATTAAACCATGTTCTGCCATGTGGCTTTTTACCTCTTCTCTATTCTGTATATCTGACTGCTTCCATGTCTGGTTGGCATTTCCTGCATGTCTAGATTCATCCCTAGTTTCTCTCTCTGCCTAAAAGTCATGCCTAATTTCTCCTGCCTAGCTATTGACCACTCAGCTTTTTATTAAACCAATCATAGTGACACATCTTCACACACATATATGATAAAATATCCTGCAAAACAAGTTTTTAAAGTATGACACAATGATTCTTTGGGTTTCCTCAGTGTCTACTGTTATGTCTGTCTTTTTGCTTCTGATTTTGTAATTTGGGTATTCTCTCTCTTTCTATTAGTTAGTTTGGATAAATGTTTGTCTATCTTGTTGATTTCTTCAAAGAACCAACTCTTTGTTTCATGGATTCTTTGTATTGTTTTCCTTGTTTCTATTTTATTGATTTCCTCTCTCAGTTTGATTATTTTCTGCCATCTACCCCTCTTGGATATGTTTACTTCTTTTTGTTCTAGAGCTTTCAGGTGTACTATTAAGCTATTTTGAGATCTCTCCAATTTCTTTATGTAGACATTTAGTGCTATGAAGTAACCTCTCCAGTACTTTCATTGTGTCCCCTAAGTTTGGGTATGTTGTGCATTCATTTTCATTGAATTTTAGGAAGTCTTTAACATCTTTATTTCTACCTTAACCCAGTAGTCATTCAGTAGAGAGCTGTTTAGATGTCATGAGTTTGTAGTCTTCCTATTGTTGTTGAAATCTCACTCTAATCTGTGGTGGTCTGATAGAATACAGGAGGTTATTTCAATTTTCTTGTGTCTGTTGAAACTTCCTCTGTGACCAAGAAAGTGATCAGTTTCATAGAAAGTTCTGCGAAGTGTGGACAAAAGGTCTGTACTTTTGTGTTTGGATGAAATGTTCTACAGGTATCTGTTAGGTTCATCTGGTTCATAACGTCTGTTAGCTTCAATATTTTTCTGTTTAGTTTTTGTCTGGATGATTTAACTTGTCCATTGATGAGAGTGAGTTATTGAAGTCTCCCACTATCAATGTGTCAGGGTCGATGTGTTTAAGCTTTAGTAATGTTTCTTTTATAAACATGGTTGCTCTTGCATCTGTGGTAGAATGTTTTGTATTGAAATGTCATTCTTGTGGATTTTTCCTTTATTGAGTATAAAGTGTCCTTCTCCATCTCTTTTGATTAATTTTGGTTGGAAGTCTATTTTGTTAGATATTAGAATAGCTATCTCAGCTTGCTTTGTGTGTCCATTTGCTTGGACAGTTTTTTTCTAACCAATTTGTCTGAGGTAATACAGATCTTTGATGTTGAGGTGTGTTTCTTGTATGCAGCAAAAGACTGGTTCTTGTTTTTGTATCCATTCTGTTAGCCTCCCTTTGTCTTTTTATTCATGAATTGAATCCATTTTATTGAGTGATATCAATGATAATGATTGTTAATTACTGTTATTTTATTATTGTGGGTTTTGAATGTGTATGTGTTTCCCTTCTTTTGATATTTGTCTATTTTTCATGGTGAGGTGTGTTTCTTAAGGACAGCAAGGGAACTTGTTTATCTTTTAAAAGTTAGTCATTGTATGTATTTACTATGCATGTATGTAAGTGTGAGTAAGCATGTGTCACAATGTGCATGTGGGGATCAAAAGGCATCTTTCCAGAGTTGGTTCTCACCTTCTGTCTTGAGGCAGGCTCTTTCTTGTTGTTTTTCCCATTGCTGTGTGAAAGCACAATCCTAATTAGTCTTAATAATAAAAACCTGGAGTCAGATATCGCTGTAAAAACTGAAAGATCAGAGAAACAAAGGAGCAGTCACAGTCACCTCTCACTTCTCAGACTTATCAGCCCAATAACACCAGCACAAGAATGCCAAGCTCCTGTCTCTGCCCTGTCCTATCACTTCCTCTCTCCACTCAGGCATATCACTTCCTGTCTTCTGTCTTTTCCAGACTTTGATGGTTAACTAGTGGCTAGCTCCACCCTCTGATCATAAGGTAAGCTTTATTTGTCAGAACACAAACAAAATATCAGAAGTAACTAACTTCTAGAATAACTAACATAGAAAAACTATATACAATAAGTACAATAACTATATACAAATATATACAGGCAATAATTACATTAACAATGTCTAGTTCATTAACATTTGACAAATTCTGAGAAAATATTCCATTATCTATCCTCTCTTAGTGAGTCCAAAGTGTTGTACCTAACTTAATCTCTATTCTAACTTGCATTACCAACTCAAAACTCTCCTTTTAAATCTTTCAAACTTATATACTTTACACCTCTTTAGTGAATTTTATTTTGAATTTGTTAACAAGGAAAACTATAACTGTAACTATCTAGTCTTCAACTCCATCAGAAACCTGAGAAGGAAATAACATTACCTAAGTAAGCAGGAAGTGCAAGCAAGTGAAATCCAAAAAGTGTGAGAAATGATAGAAACATCTAGCTTCCTGAACAGTCACCCAAGTTTCCTCTGTAATTTTGGGGCATTCATCTTTGGCCTACAGGTCTAGCATATTTGAAAGATTTTTCTGTAAAGCAGGATACTCTGAAGGGCTGCCCACCTTGTCTTGGCAAAGTTTGGCAGTCATTTTCTTTTCTGTCCTGCTTGTCCAATTTGGACAGCATACTGTCAGCAGTCCAGGCAAGGGCACTTTCTTGCCCAGTGGCTAACTTTTGCCACAAAGAAAATAAACTCCATGTGGAGTTTCTTTGATGCCCAATACTTCTCTGAAGTAGATTGGTGCTCCCAGGAGCAGACATGTCTCATTGTCATTAAAAAAAAAAACAACCTATGTTATTAAAACATCTTCAATGCCATATTCTGTAGATCTTGAAGTGTTTGAAGACTGTCTACCTAAAATATCTCTGTTTGACCTAGAAAACATACCTAATATGACTACAGGTTTGATTATAATAAGTGACTAACTACTAACCTGCATTTTTATTAGCCTAAATAGTTTGTAATAATAAATTTCAAGGACTAGAAATTTACATTATATTGTTAAATGAGCTGCATAGGTATAATACCTTGAACAAGAGAAGAAATGTATGTATAGTATGTTTGAGCAAAAATAACCTCAAATTTAAATCAATATACAAAAGTCCATGCCAATGTAAAATATTTCAAACTAGTAGTTGCTTTTTTGTTTTAAAAGTAGATTCAATAACCTACCTTTTTATCCCATCATTTCCCTAACATATATACAGTATAACAAAATAACCTCAAATGTGTATCAATACATAAAACTCCAAGCCAATGTAATATATTTAAATGTAGTAGTTGCTTTTTTGGTTTAAATATTGATTGAATAATCTATGTTTTTGTTCTGTCATATCTGTATCACCCCCTTTTCTTTTCAGAGTAGATTCAATAATCTACTGTTTTATCCTACCATTTCTATTTCTCCCCCTTTTCTTTTCAAAACAAGAACCCTGAATCTAATCTCCTTTGTTCAACTTTTTTCCTGACCATCACCAATAACAACTTGTAACCACTCCCCTAAACAGTGACAAATATCCACAACACATTGAGCAACCAAAAATACCCACTGCATCGCTTGGAAATGTCATGTTCTTAAAATTACTTCCTGCTGTCTGGAGTCATTGGCATCTTTAGGGGATGCTCAGAAACTTCAAGTCCTGGGATAGCTAGCTCTCTGAATAATGGGAAAATGCAGGGCTTATCTCAAGTCCTGTCTAGAGTGGTCTGTGAGAATGGACCATGTTAACTAACCAACTTGAAATTGTCCTGAGCAGTTTGTATTCCAAGTCAATCTTTGGGTGGTGTTTGTCAGTTTAGTGGCATTATCATAGTCCTGGTGGAATCGTCTTTGTGGGGCTCCATCCTCGTTCTGGACACTTCAAAGGTCACTGCTTTGGTCATGGCTCACTGCAGAAAACTTAAACATTTTATGTCATCTGCAGCAGATCTCAATGAGGTTAAAGAATCAATATTTGTTATGTACATCCAGAGTATGAAAACTTAATTCCTATTTACCTGATAGAGACTCAGACCCCAAATTATGTACAGGAAGCTAGGTGAAGCCTTTTTCTAGAATTAGTTAGTACTCTATATGACCATTAATATCATGACAAAAAGTTAAAAAATATATATGTCTTATAAATTTTGGGATAATATATATACTTTAAGAAAAATGGCAAAGAATCAAAATAAAACCAAAGGATTATGAGATTAGCTGCAATTAAATAGTCCCTAAATTTTGTTTTTTCTCTTTTCTTTCTTTCTTTCTTTTCTTTTCTTTCTTTCTTTTTATTTTTTTTGGTTTTTTGAGACAAGGTTTTTCTGTGTACCTTTGCGCCTTTCCTGGCTCACTTGGTAGCCCAGGCTGGCCTCGAACTCACAGAGATCCGCCTGGCTCGGCCTCCCGAGTGCTGGGATTAAAGACATGGGCCACCACCGCCCGGCTTGGTTTTTCTTCTGTCCCATATCAGGTGGCTCTTCTGATATGAGACAGAGATTTTGGATTTTACTTTAACAAGCATGCTTGTGTTTAGAGAAGGAGAGAGCCACACTCTAACTGTAAAGCCAGCTTTAATTTTCAATTGAACTGGGTCTACAAAAAGACATTTTTTTTTGCTTAGATTTCTCTGGCTCTCATTTGCTTTTATGGACTTCTGAGAAACAGGTCAGGTTACTGTGCCAGACATACACTGGAAGGAGAGGGTGGAGGCAACAGTCTATAAAACAGGATCTGGTGCTCTTCACAGAAGTTCTGAAGGACGTTCTCCAGGACAACAGCTCCTGGGGGCTCTGGAGCATCTGAGTCATGGCTGTCCTGTGGCTGCTGCTGGTGGCAGGGCTGCCCACATTCTTACTGGGAGTCTTTGTATGGGTTGTTATTCAGCACCTTCCCAGTGCAGAAATGCCTTCCACCCTGAAGCAGCCCGCCAAGTTATGGTTTATGCATTGCATTATCCAGTACCTGATAGCTTTGGTGAGTGTTCTCTTGGGCCCTGCCATGGATTGGGGGTGCTCTTTGGACCCCACCCTTCTCCTTTCATTCCCCTCTCTTCTTTCTCTAGGTTCTCATAGGACTGAGTTGGGGAAGTCTCTTGTCTCCCACCTCTCACCTCCCCCATCTCTTTTCCTTCCTTTTTTCTCTTCTTGGATTTTCCCTCTCTCCTTGCTTCCTCCTTCCCTTCCTTATTTTCTCTCCTCTTTCATTTTCTGCTTTTATTTTCTTTCTTGGTGAGAAAGGATGTCACACTGTAGTCTAACCTGACCTTATCTATATTCTGGCCACCTTAAAGTGGCCATCCCCTACTCCCATCTTTTGAGGGA